ATCGATGGGACATCCAACACAGTGTGCATCTGTGCTCGCCTTCTCTGACAAGCCCCCCGAACTTCACATCCCACCAGAGGAAGGCACAGAAGGTCACCGTCCGGAGCACAGCAGGTTGGAATACTCTGGAAGCGATTTCTCCAAGAAAACGAAACTGACCGAGTGGCTGATGCTTCTGAAGCCCTTGAGAGGAGATTCAGACAGCCAGTAGACAGTGTAGGATTTAACTTGGCCATGACTACACAGAAAACCACCCAAACAAACAAAACACGGGAGCGCGATTAACAAGGGAAAAAATAAAACGTGTAAAGAGAAGGAGAACTGGTCCAAGTTCACGACGAGGCACGGATCCGCGTGTTCACGGACACGGGAACCAAAGGCTGCATGCCGGTGTAACTGGGGCGCACCCGTCTCAGGACTGAGGGGACCGGGAAGAGTGCCCACATGTGGTGGACGGGGAGAGCAGAGAGGGCAAAGTCAAACCTCACTTTCCGTGTTGGAAGCCTATCAATAATGCCCCAAACAATGTAAGTACAATGCTTTCTTTCAAAAGCACTGCCTGAAAGAAAAGAGTAAGAACCGCTTGCCTCTGAGGAAATGCAAAGGGAGAGAAAAGGCACAGATAACTGCTATTTTTTGCCTAACAAAATGGATAATTTGCATAAAAACGTAAAATAACATTTACTGCATTCTTACTATGTGCTAAACACTGTTACCTTCTCAGCATTTCCCACAGGTTTAACCCTCTCAATCCTGAGGTGGGAGTCCCTCGGTTCTTACCACTCTCGCAAACGAGAGAACTGAGTCAGGAAGAATTGACGCAACTTGCCTCAGGTCCCACAGCTAATTGATATCAACACGCAGGATGTCATTCAACAGCACGGGATTTAATTGCCCGCCTGTGTCATACACAATAAAGCTTGTTCCACTCCAGTTGGTCCTCTTGTCTCCTGCTCGTTAACATGAATACATCATTAAAAGTTCAGCCAATTTTTGGAGAAAATATTTGCAACTCACTTATCTGATAAGAGGCTGAGATCATAATACATAAAGAAGTCCTAACACTCAACGATTTAAAAAAAAAAAACAACAAAAGCTAACAATGGGCAAAGGACGTGCATAGACCTTTCTGCAAAGAAGATAAACAAGTGACCAAGGAGCACGTGAAAAGATGCCCAGCATCGTCAGTCGTTAGGGAAAGGCAGTATAAATGGCTTCACACCGACTGGGATGGCTATTCCTTAACAACTACAAGACAGACACAGGCAGAAACAAGTGTCGGTGCAGATGCAGACAAACGATGCTCTGCTGGTGGGACTGTAAAAGGGAGCGATCATCGTGCAAAACAGTATGGGAGCTGCTCGAAAACCATAAACATACAATTATCATTGGATCCGGCACTCTCAGACTAAGTACACGGAAGAAGTAAAACCAGGGGCTCGAACAGATATTTGTACAATGCTCACCACGGCATTATTCGCAATAGCCAAAAGAGGGGAACACACCAGGTGTCCAGCGATGGATGAATGAAGAAAAGGGAACACAGACAGACAGTGGAATTTTATTCATCGTTAAAAAAAAAAATACAACTCTGACACGTGCTACACCACAGGTGGACCCTGAATACAATATTTGGCGATCTTTGGCCCTGAAATACCTGAAGAATTGCTCTTCCTGTAAAGACAATGTCCCAGAAAGTCTTCCTGTAAAGACAATGTTTCCTTCCAAGTGAACAAAAATGGTAACCAATCAGTGATCTTTATGAAGGTGTTCCAGTGTGAGAACAAGGTGCAGGACCATATTAGACAATGAGTTTGTCATGCCTTCCCTGCTGAAATTGGTGGGGCTGTGTTTTGTTTGTTTGTTTGTTTGTTTGTTTGTTTAATATCCTAGAATAACTTGCAACTGCCAGCAAAGCTAGAACAGAACAATCAAATGCTCTGCCTATTCATACATGGTCCCTCAAAGCCACTCCTGATTAAAAATCATACCATTCCAATCTCCCTACTGGAGAGATCTATTAACTAGAACTGCTTGGGAAGCCAATGACTTTGGTGTATAATTACACGTATCCTATATACATTACTTCTCGGAGACATAAACCGAAGAGGAGTGACCAGCTCACTGTAAACCTACATGAAGATTTCACTGGGAAAAGACATCGAGATCAAAGTCCAGAAAGATCTTAAGCTTCAATGAATGTAATTTCACCAGGAGGTAATTTCACCAGGAGATAATCGCCTCTTTTCTGAACTGTCCATGCATCTTACAGGAATCTTCCCAGAGCACCCTCTCGTCACTAAGTAACAGTGGCACCTTGGACAAGTCACGTCCATTCTCCCCACCTCCATGGTTCCATCTGTGAAATGAGAGGCTTCAGCTTCCATCTGTGAAATGAGAGGCTTCAGCTGGGTGATTTCCAAAGTCCCTTCCAAACCGGATGTTCAGCATTCCGTCATCGAATCACGGGAGCTCACCTCCCCTCGCCTATACTTTCAAGGCAAGAAGGGCGTCTGATTGACCTTCGGAGCCTCCGTGCTATCCAGAACAGGTCACGGAACCTCCCTTAGCAAATGTGCAACAAACAAGTTCAGGGGCCCAGAAAACAGTACCGTGTGTCTGCAGTGTCCACGCTGCCCTTTCCAAGCCCTTCCCAGCCCCAGACACGATGTTAACCTGAAGGGCTCTCCCCGAGTCTGCCCGGACAGACCTCTGGCAGGACTCTAAGGAGGCCAGGGAAACAAGCATGTCCCTCGTCGCCTGGAAGAAGTCACGTGGGAGGGATGCCCCACCAAACACTCTCAAGGTACGTGCACTGTAAACCAGCTGGCCCACTCTCACACGTGCAGCCCGAGACGTCGTGTAAGGCCCCACTTCACAGAGCTAACGACGTCTCGTCATCCCAGAGGCTGCGTGGAAAGACACAGCCGACGCTGTGGGGAGAGGGAGGTGAGGGTGCCGGGACCTGCAGGGGAGAGCAGGTAGAACGTTCCTTTAACTGGTCCAGGGGTGGGCATTTAAACACATCCGGGTCCCAGAGAAACCTACACTGCGGGGACAGGAAACACCTGCTGAGGGGGCATCCGGCCAAAGCTGTTAGGACTCTGGAGCCCAAGTGCACAGGTTCAAATCCTGCTAATCCATACTGTATAGCCGTGGAAAAGTTAATCATCCTTCCGTGCCTTAGTTTCATCTGTAAAATGAGGATAACGGTAGTACTTCGACCATGGGGTTGCTGTAAAGAGTAAGTTAATACATGGAAAATGCTTATCCTGGTGGGTGGCACATAGTAGGTGCAGCTCCAATTAAGGAGAGCTCCCAGTATTGCCATTATGATTAGACAGACTTCTGGGAATCTCGGGGGTCACCGATTCCAGCCCTGCGGTTCCCCACTCCAGGTGAAAGCCGAAGGGTAAACCTTTATGAGGTTATGAGCATACGTACGCTTTATCAGTCTTAACTAGTCCTGACCACAGAAACTATTCATTAAAAATTTAAATTCCTTTTGAGAGATATTCTAGATTTCAGGAACGACTGGGTCACCCACACTCTGGGAGGACAATGGGGCCATTAAGCTGCAGGGCCGAGAGGACCCGGAGCACAAAGACACCTTTGTGGCCGCCGCGGGCACCCCATACCGCGGCCTCCGCCTCACAGCGCTGCCTCCTTAAGGAGGAAACCGACAGACTCCATTGTTGGTTCACATCAGAGTTCTCGGACGTGAGAGTTCTCAGAGCCCTGGCGAGGCCTCATTAAAGATCAGAGGATCTCAGTGCCTTCCATTAGGCCGGCATCAAATCCCCTCCAAGTGATTTTCTTAAGTCCGCATCAGCATTTGAGACGCCAAGGAACCTGGTGAGATTTCCAGCCGCTGAACTAGTCCCTTGTTTCGGGCTCAAGGCCTGAGGTCAAGTCAGAAAATAGCTTAGGTATCCTGAGGAACATTCTGAGACTGGGAAACACACGGTAAGAAATTAAAAGAGAACCACGAGAATTTCTTTTTTCCGTTCCCTTTTTGCAAAACAGTCATTTCAGTAAACAAAAAAAACTAGCAACAACAACAAGATCCAATTTAAAAAAATAATGTCGTCAGAAAACACCAACCCTTACAAGTTCCAGTTCACTCCCTCGGGCGCTATCAAGAGCTCTGGTTTCCCAGGCATCTTTCAACATACAAGCAGAAGAGAGAAACAGGGAGGAGAGCAAACCCCTGTCTTGTGTTCCTTTGTCAGAGGGTCAGGCAAAAAGAGGGAGCCGGTGGGGATCACACGGTGCCCAGCAGCTCCAGCCACCTTGGTAATAGCCCTGTCCTGAAGGACTATACTAGAAACCCCCAACACACCGAAACTGAGCAACAGGAGGAAAATTGGGGCTGGCCACAAAAAAAAAAGGTAGCCTGTGATCTGCGCTGCAAGGGGTCCGGGAGAAAGAGTCCACCGCGCCCACCTGTTAGGTCTCAACGCTCAGGACAAGTGGGGGGCTGGAGAGTTTCCCAGACAGAGAGTCTGCTTACAAACCCGCCAGTCAGGACGGGAGGAAGTCAGGAACAAGGCTGTGTTCGACAAGTCCTCCTAAGGCAGGGACGTCAACCACAATAAAATATTTTGGCAAAACAAGGAACGTGCACCTGCGGGAACCTGGAGAGATTGCACAGATTTTTGTTTTCCTGACGCTTTATCAGCAGCTTCCCAACCTTCTCCGCGCTCGAGAGAAAGGCACTCGCTGTATGAAAGAAACCAAGACGCCGCTCTGCGGGGCCCGGGAAGGACACAGTGACGGTCACGCTTACAAGCTGTGTCAGAGTGACAGCGAGCCAGACGGCACAGCTGCGTGAGCAAGAGGTGTGTTCTGCAGACTGGCGGCTGTGGCTAGCCTAAAAAGGACACACAACGCCTGTGTTCATACACATGCACACACACACACACACACACGCACACGCATGCACACTCACGCGTACGCTCAGGGACACTCGGGCGGCTGCCCCGCCGAGCGGACCGTACCGTCACAGCTGTAACTGTACACCGCCACGGCCGACCTGTCCACCAGGTTCTCGTCGTGGTGCCAGCTCACCGCCATCTTCCCCATGCCGAAATACGGCTCCTCTTTCAGGTAGGGCATTTTCTGCGGATCCATGAAGTTCAGCAAAGTCACGTTGTACGCGGACCTGTTCCTAATGTCCACTTCGTCTTGCCCGTCGAAGGCGCCCAAGCCCACCCGGGGGAAATCCGGCCCTATGCACACAGGCACCACGTCGATGTTCGCTCGGTCCTTGGCCACCAGCTCCTCCCAGGTCTGGATGGTCTCGATGCGCAGGTACTCGTTGAGCTTGAGGAAGGCCTGGCAGGCGGCCGCGATCTCCGCCTCGTGGTAGTGCACGGCGGAGCCCCTCACGGGCCAGGGGACGGTGAAGAGCCTGGTGTTCAGGTACTTGTAGGTGCAGCCGGGGTTGCCGATGAGGATGCGCGAGACCGGCGTGAGCACGTCTTTGCCCTGGACCCGCACCAGGTCCCGAAACAGGCAGCCGTGCTTGTGCAGGGCCCCGAAGGCGTCCTGGACCTCCCGGTGGAGCTGCTCGGGGACGCCGCCGGCTTCTCGGAGGACGAGTTTGGGGTATTTCAGCTGCCACTGGAGCAAAACCAGAGCAAAAATGTGTGTTTATCGAGGGGGTGGATGTCAGCACTGCCAAAAGGCATGTCCTTACAGGCATGAGGGGAAATAAATGAATTTTTAAAACCCGGCCAGTGGTACTTCTAAAGAGGATTCACACCTCTCTAGCCTAAAATAAAGGGCTAAGTAACACAACTGTCACCAACTCTGCAGTCGAGACTGCAGGTCCAAGCTTGAGTAGCAACCTTTAACACAGAAACAAAATAATTTAGGCTTTGATCTCTCAGCACCCCCCGCCCATGACCACTTCCGCCCTCCGTCTTCCAGCCCCTGGCCCTCCAGGACACGTAATTCTATCAATTAACTGCCCATCCCCTATGTATTCAGTGCTTCCTGTGTATGGGCCGGGCACTATTCTCAGGGACTGACGTACACAAACTCATTTACTTTACTTCCCACGGCTTTCAGGGGCAGTGCTGTTCCGACCTTCCATTCACGGATGGGGACACTGCAGCCCGGAGACACCTTAAAACCCTGGCCCGAGTCACCCGGCGGGTGGGCACTGCAGCTGAAGTCTGAAGGCCCCGGACTCACTCCAGAGCGGGGCTTCTTGACCCCTAGATCGCAGGGCGTCTCCACAGATGACGCCCTGGTTTCTGCTTCAACAGAGTCACCTCGGGGAGAGACCACTTCTCTCTGGGAGTGGGGCGCTGAGACCCAGGAACAGGAGAGCGGGGACGATTTTGTTCTCAGCTCTGACACTAGTGTCCAGAATATGCGCACCAACTTTTGAATGAAAGAGTGAGTAAATGAGTGAGCAGGGCACCCCACTGCAGTGCAGAAAGTTGGACTAGTTCTACGGATGTCCGCGGAGGAGGGTCCTGCTGGATGAGTCTCCCGAACGTGGAATGACGCGGCTTTCCGGACGCAGCTTCCAACGGCACTACCTTCTCAGCCAGCACCTCCCGCTCCCAGCACTTGACATGTGAATGGGTATCAAGCCAGAGTCCCCTCCTTCCCTACAATGCAATGACCTTTTTTTTTTTTAAACCAAAGTGCAGGACTTCACATTCACCCTGGTAAAATGTCGTGTGACTGGGTGGCTTCTGAGTACTGTGCTGCCCACCCTTGTGACGTACATTCCTGCCTTCCGTGTCTTCCCTCAACCATCCCCGGGTATGTGATTAGACAGGGCAAGACCATCGACTCTCCCGAACTTTCTTCTCCGCTTAAAATATGTCTACAGAGCACCTACGGAAGTAAACGCTAGACGGAGATTAGGTTCCTGCCTTCGCAGAGCTTTCTACCAAATCAGATAACCAAGTGAGAAAAAGTAATCCCCAAGAAACCAAGGGCAGATCGCAGAGTAAGGAAGCGCTCGCTCTCTGAGGAGCTGAGGTCTTCAGGAAAAGAAGGTGCCGGTCATGGACCAACAAGGGAAAGAGCATCCTGGGGGGAGGGACGGAGATCAGCCGGCAGCTGAGACAAAAGAAGGCCAGCCTCACCGGAGCAACAAAGCCAAAGGCAGAGGGAGAAGAGATGAGGAAGAGGAGGAGGGCAGACGATGGGTAACACCTGGAGGTCAAAGGACGGACTCTGGGCTTGACTGCAAGTGACCTGGAGGATTCAAGGGGAGACGAGTAATTTCACTTTTTCTTTTCCTTTTTTCCTTGTTACTGAATGTATTGGGGTGACACCAGTTAACAAAATTATATAGGCATCAGGTGCACAACTCTATAACTGTGTGTTCGGCACCCCAAGTCAAGTCTCCGTCCACCACCATTTACCTGCCCGCCCACACCCTTCTCCATATCCCAGGCATCTGATTTGCATTGATAAAAATCACTCAGTTAAAAATACCGGGCACGGAACGGAAAGAGGCTAATATGAAAGTAGAATATCCTATTAGGTACTATTACGCCCATGCAGGAGCAATGTGAGGATGGTCTGGATTAGAGACAGAGATCAATGGACAGATAAAATACATATTGAATTGGCAGAGCAAAAGGATGTGCTTCTGGATTTAGACTCGAGGGGTGAAAAAAGAAGTTATGGATGACTTCCGAATTTCTGAATTGAGTAAACGAATCCGCAGTTCGCTATTTGTTGAAATAAGCAAGGCGGGGGCAAACCAGAGATGGAGGGTGGAAGAACAGAGAGCAGTGGGGAACTCCGCTTTGGAGCTGTGGCCACGAAGAGACCTATGAAATCCTTGGGGGGAAACGGTAAGCGGGCAATGAAACACATGCCTGGAGCTCAAGGGGAGAAGGCGGGGCTCCGGAGGTCAGGGCGGGAGCTGTCAGCACACGGTTGGTTTCTAAAGGCCTGGGCACTAATGAGATCTCCTAGGGAACCAGCGAATGCAGGAGGGAGCCCAAGGGCTCAGCCAAGGAGACCAGCAGTGCATTAATGCAGAAGCCGAGAGAGCATTCCCATAAGGATGGAATTGTAGTTCATGTCAACTGCCCACGAGAGGCCACGGGAGAGGAGCACAGAACAGACACGAGCCACTGGATTTGGCAGCATGGAACTCACCGGTGACAATGCCAAGAGCCCTTTCTGCAGAGTGGTGTCCATGAGAGTAGGCTCACGAGGAACCAAAGGGGAGGAGGTAGAGATGGTCCATATAAACGTCTAGTGGTCCCACTACGACCGGGATGGAAACACGGAGCCGCTGGTGAAGGGGAAGGCTGGATCAGAGACGGTTCACCACGGCGGAAGAGAGCAGAGCACCCTCAGCTTTGTCAGCATGCTCATGAGGGTGACACAAGAGGAGGAGGCTGACGTCGCACAAGAGGGGGTGACTGGCTGCAGGAGCGCCGTCCTTGAGTGTCTAGACTAGCAGTCTCCCAAAGGGAGACAGGTACACCCCCGGGATCTGTAGGGTAGCCCCCCGGTGTGGAAGTGGGGAGGGGAGAGCAGAACTGTTTTATTACCAGTCAAAAAAAGAGAAAGAAATCAAGCGTGACTAGAATGTGTGTGTGTGTACGTACTGGGACTCCAACCTGCCCACGGCGTGCTGGAGTCACTTGGCTTCACCTCGAGACAGCCTACCGTGGGCATCTCTTCCCGGTGGCGCGTTCGGTGACACCGGGTTGAGACTGACGAGGGCGGAGATACGCATGGGGGAAATTAGGCAACTCTAAAACTCAAGGCTGTCGCCCACCCCGGAAAACCGGTTGCTACGCATTTAGGAGGACACCGCTGCTTACGCTCAAAACTCATTATTGGTAGGAGTGTATGAGCCCAAGCATTTGGAAAGGAGAAAAAACAATACTTCCCATACTGGATGAGGCTGGAAGGAGAAAAGATACACATGCGCAGGACTGTGAATTTGATAGTAGGCAGCTGACTGAGCCTGGGGGTGCTGGGAGGGCGGGGAGACGGGCGCTTCCATTTCTCCCAGGGAAAATGTAAAACGAATCACTAGCAAAGAAGACGTGCTGGTCATTAGGGCTGTTTGCCAGAGAGTTCTGGATTCCTTCCCCATCGCCCAGCTTCTGGGGCCCGATGGAGGATTACGCGGCCCGGCTCCCTCCTCGCGCTGGATGAAGCGTGCGGCTGCTTCTGCTCAATGAGGGGTGATGGCTGTCACTTCTAGCCTGGGGCGCTTCATCGTCAGCGCCAGACCCTCCAGAACACTTTTCCCTGTGGCGCCGCAGCCAGCTGGTGGCTGCTTGAATTCCTGAGTCACTACTTTAATGGGTAGTGACTCTCTGCCAACCCACAAATGATGTGTAAAATGAACAAGAAATATTGTTGGGCGAAGCCACTGAGATTTGAGGCTTGTTTGCTCCTCCAGCGTTATCTGGCCTGTTCTGGCTGGTCCAGAACCCAGAAAGGTGAAGGCAGGAAGACGGCGTGCAGGAGGAGGCAGCAGCAAAATCAGTTCGAATGGGGGGGAAATGGATTTCCTAGGAGAGATGGATTTCCACGGTGGGCGTGGCTTGCTCCCCTATCTGAGCTGCGGAGTCACAATGTAAAGTGACCAAGGGCAGAGTTGGGTGGCATACCACTATGACCTGTCACGGGGGCCGCAGGGATGGGTTCAGAATTCCTAGTTTCCAGCCCTCGTGTATCCCAATGGGAACTCGAAAACAGAAATATCACACGTTCTGTTTTCGCAGCTCACGAGGGGAGCGCTGGAAGGTGGTGAGCAAGAGACAGAACATTCTGGAGCCATGGACAGTAACTAATTTTATTCCTCAGCTGGTTGTCCTCTGAGCGAGTCCCCAAGGGCTTGGCATCCTTGAAGCACGTCTAACCCGCAAGATAATTAAGAAGAAAATTTTTCCACATTTTAACAACTCCAGTGTTATTCTAATAGTCCTTAATGTAAAAATATTGAAGAAAATTAAGATGCAATAGTTCCCAGGAACTTTTGTTTTAGAACACACTCCTTTAGGGCTGAGAGGAAGAAGATTGGAAAGATATACTCAGGCACCAAGACCACTCTCACTGGTATTGTTTAGTGTGTCCTGGGGCTGGAGACCCCAGGAAATACACAGAACACAGGGGAACCATAACTCTGAGGACCTTGGAAATTCATGTGGCCACAGGAGTATCACATGTAAATACCTTGAGGTTAAAAACAGCATTCTAAAAATAAAAAATAATAATAATGACATAGAAGCCCTGGCTGGCATAGCTCAGTGGATTGAACGCAGGCTGCGAACCAAAGTGTCGCAAGTTCAATTCCCAGTCAGGGCACATGCCTGGGTTGCAGGTCACGGCCCCCAGCAACGGCACATTGATGTTTCTCTCTCTCTCTCTCTCTTTCTCCCTCCCTTCCCTCTCTAAAAATAAATAAATAAAATAAAATAAAAATAATGACATAGGAAAGTATTTAAAAAAAATTTTTTCCCTGATGTCTCATGTCCCTTTCGCCACGGACCACACCTGCCTCTCCTCCCAGCCCCCCACTTTCCAGGCAGCCTCCGTCCCCCAACTCCACCCGCCAGGCCCCTCTCAGCCTCCGGTGTTCTTTCTCAGAGAAACCTTTCCTGAGTTTCCACCCC